AATCATAGTTTACATACTTTCTGCAGAAAAAAATAAAAACATTACATATATAAATCAAGCTAGGAGCGAAAATAAAAGAAAACCGAAATATCAAATAGAAAAATCAAGTTAAATATGCTTGAAGTATGGAAAATCCCATCAACGTTTCGGAGCAATGATAACCACATCTTCATGTCTTAAGTATTAAAGTTCTTAAAAAGCCAAAATTTACATATTTTGAAATTTCCTCTTTTTTTTTTTTTTTTTTTTTTTTTTTTTTACTGTTCTTCATTTTCCCCCCCCCCTTTTCTTCTTCTTTTTCTGCCTGTGATAGAGGTTTTATTTCGTTTTAGTGAGATCATCGTCAAACCACTTCAAAACACATTGATATCGTCAAATGATACGATGTTCATATAGTGTGTAATGATAAGATGGTCCTTGAAATGAACTTTGGGTATTGTGTAAACCATAACTTTTCATCTTGGGAAACCAGTTGTCATTGCACTTAATTTACTATAACTGCATAAAAAGAGATGGTAAGATCATGCATAGATAGGTAGGTTCGAATGAAGAATGTATGTATACGTTCACACACACACACACACACACACACACACACCACACACACACACGCACACACACACACACACACACACACACACACACACACACACACACACAACACACACACACACACACATATATATATATATATATATATATATATATATATATATATATATATAATATATATATATATGAATAGAAAAACACAATACCGTGTTGATACTATGGTAGAAAAACCCACAATGCACAAACTAGATTTATTGAGGAAAGTGAGACAACAGTATAGCATCATAAACAAAAATGATTAAGGAGAGGTATTTAAAAAGGGATTGGTCTTTTAATCAACCTGACCATCTGATTACATGATAATAATGATAACTGTTATCAATAAATTCATCCCTTTTAGTAAATATCATATGTCATCAGAGATTGTCTGTGCGGTTAAGTGTCTTGTTTTCTTAATAATTTACGTAGTTTTGTTGGCTTCTGTTTCATTATGAATATGATTTACGAAAATTTGTTTTTGCTACGATATGACCTCGATATAAAGGCCACTTGAAGGGTACGTAGTTATTTTTTTTTTGTTTTTTGTTTTTTTAACTAGTGTACTTTCTTTTTTAATTCATGATAAGAGTGGGTTAGGTTAAGTTAGGTCAGTTCAAGTTGGGTTAGGTTAGGTTAAGTTTCGGTAGGGCAAGTTAGGTTAGGTTAGAGTAGTTTAATTTAGGTTAGGCCAGATTAAGTTAGGTTAGAATAGGTTTGGTTAGGTTAGGTTTCGGTAGGTCAAGTTAGGTTAGGTTAGATTAGGTTAGGTCTGATCAAGTTAGGCTAGGATAGGTTATGTTAGGTCAAGTTAGGTTTGGTTAGGTTAGGTTTCGGTAGGTCAAGTTAGGTTAGGTTAGGTCAGGTTAAGTTAGGTTAGGATAGATTTGGCTAGGTTAAGTTAGGTTTGGTTAGATTAGGTCAAGTTAGATTATGTTACACTAGATTAGGTTAGATTAAATTACTTTAGGTTGGGACTGGTTTCCTTACAAAATATTAGGTTAGATTAGATTAAGTTGGGCTGGGATTCTCATCAGACAGACAAATAGATAGACAGATAAATAGAGAGAGAGAGCCGCGCAGGGGGAGGGAGGGAGAGAGAGAGAGCAAGAAAGAAACAGAGCTAAAGAGTGAGAGAGAGAGAGGGTTAAAGTAAGAAAGACACACACACACACACAGAAACACACACACACACACACACTCAGAGAGAGAGAGAAGGGAGAGAGAGAGAGAGAGAGAGGAGAGAGAGAGAGAGAGAGAGAGAGAGAGAGAGAGAGAGAGAGAGAGGAGAGAGAGAGAGAGAGAGAGAGAGAGGCAAACACACACACACACACACACACACACACACACACACACACAGAGAGAGAGAGAGAGAGAGAGAGAGAGAGAGAGAGAGAGAGAAGAGAGAGAGAGAGAGAGAGAGAGAGAGAGAGAGAGAGAGAGAGAGAGAGAGAGAGAGAGAGAGAGAGAGAGACAGACAGACAGACAGACAGACAGACAAACAGACAGAGAGAGGCAAACACGCACACGTACACACACACTCACACACACGTACACACACACACACACAGATAGAGACCCACTTTTCAACAAGAAGGCCCCTATTTACCCGATAAGCAAAAATCTGGTCACGAAATCTACTTCCTGACCTTTAACTTTATCTATGTCACTTACCGACGTACCCCAGACTGAGGGTCTTGGGCACATATCGTATGTTCATTTGTTTCTCTCTTGTCGTTTAGATTGACCTTAATTAATTACTTAATGACCATAATTCGCTTTGTTTAATTGTAGATCTTATACTCGTCTTGTGTTACTCAACCATACCGTGTACTCATTTCATTGCATTCATATTAATTCTATATCTGTATAAAAGTATTTCTACTCTTTTTATTGCAATTCAGATTAACCATATATGTGTGTAACTGTTTATCGGATATCATTTCCATCTATATCAAAATCAACATATATTTGCTTTGTATGGATCTATATCATATCTTTTTAACTATATCGCCCAAAGGTGAATCGTATAGTCATTTCAAATCATTTAAATTAACCAAATCTTTGTATAATTCCATTGATTTTATGTTATTCAGATTACCATACCTGTGTGCCATTATGTATCGTATATTCAGTTCTATGTACTTGTATAACTGATTATCGTATACCCATTTTATCGCATATCCTCCAAAATTTACAGTATCTTTCTGAGTATGACTGAGTATATCGTATATCTATTTTCTTAATGTTCAGCGTAAAACTTCGCTATGTGTAGTTATACATTGTATAACTACTGCCAAATTGTTTTAGAATATATATCAATCTGTCTTTATATATATTAATCTATCCATCAATATGCACACACACACACATATATATCGCATTATATAATTGTATAACATATATTTAGCATCTAATTTAGAATAACTAAAAATCGTTGTATATAAGGAAACATCGCACATACATTATTCATAGCCATGAATCCCTATACATAACTGCACATCACAAATTTACTTGGCATTACCCAGAACAACCATACCTTACCATACCTCGATGTCTAACACACCCACACTTATACCCACACACGCAGATATATATTGCTGTATACTGAACACACCGCGTTTCCATTTCCAGACCTACAAACCACGCCTTCGCCATCGCCCTTAGTCCAGGATGGCGACATCGAACAAAATGCGGTGGACGGTGGCCATCGGCGGGGGCATCCTGGCCATGGCCGTCCTCATAGGGGGGGCGGTCTGGGGCTACCTGGCCAAGCCTCCTCCTGACGATCTCTTCAGGCTCCCGACGGATCTGAAGCCGGTCCATTACGAGGTCAGACTCCAGCCTTTCCTGAGCGGGAACTTCAGCGTGTTGGGTCACGTGGACATCGAGCTGAAGGCGCTGACGGAGGCTTACAGTATCACGCTGCATGTGGCTGACATCGATATAAATACTGGCACTATACGGGTAAGTGGCATTGCGTTAGTGTTATTTTGGATTTGTTGATAAGGGAGAGACAGAGAGAGAGAGGGAGGGGAGGAGGGAGAAAGAGAGAAGGAGTGGGAGAGGGAAGGCGAGAGCAGAGAGAGGAGGAGAGAGAGAGAGAGATAGAGAGAAAGAGAGAGAGAGATAGAGAGAGAGAGAGAGAGAGAGAGAGAGAGAGAGAGAGAGAAGAGAGAAAGAGAGAGAGAGAGAGATACAGCTAGACAGACAGACATACCAACATAGAGACAGAGAAACGAAGAGACAGACAAAATATCAGACAGGCAGAAAGGCTATCAGACAAACAGACAAAGACAGAAGCAGAGAGAACCGGGCAGACAGACTAACAGACAAGACACATAAACACATATAAATATATAAACAGACAAATGAATAGACACACACAGTTAGACAGGCACACAAAATACAGAAAAACAGACATACAGGCCCTCACATACAGATAGACAACCAGACACACAGTTAGACAGACAGACAGAGAGACAGACAGACATAATCACAGACAGACAAGCGGGCTAGCAAACAGATTAGTCAGACAGACACAGAGCGAGAGTGACTAATAGTTAGATATCTGGAAGAGATAAACTATTCTACAATCACTTGAACACGACTTCTCACTAATACAACAATAACCACAAGTAATACCATTCTACCATAATTTTACAATAATTTCTCGAATGGAAAACACATAACACACTACATGTATCGGAGACATTACCATCAACTCTGGAAAAAAAATACGAAAGTAAAAGAAAATAATAATGATAATAATAATACATTATACTATTAAAAATTAGAAGTAAAAGTATTATAAAGTACACTATACTATATTTACGTAATGTCATTAGCGAAGAGACAAACTATACCAGTAATGAGAGAGCTATTTATAAAATTTTATTTTAATATCACAAACTATACCAGTAATGAGAGAGCTATTTATAAAATTTTATTTTAATATCACAACGAAAGCATACGGCATTCACACCATATGTCAGTGATAGTTATTTATGACTATCATTTGCTGTCTGTCTGTTCCAAGGACGTTTATAGTATGAATTATTATCGGGCTTAATCCTTATGATAAAAAAAACATTATGCGATAAAGATAAGATGATTTATGAATAATAATGTACCTCTATATTTTTATCAGGTCATTTTTAATCAGCGTAAAATTATCATAGTCTATGCGAGTTTCTTTTACGTTTTCTATGAATACTATTTTGGTTAATATTAGGGGATACTTATCTGATTAGTATAATAATTATGGATATTTTAATTGTAGTGTTTTTTCTTTGTTATCATTATTCATATTAATACCCTTATTAGTATCATGGAAAATATTTCCATTGTGGTTGATATTAGTTTAAGAAAGTGTTGTTATTGTGGTTATGGTTTCTGCTATTACTATCACA